AGGAATTAGAATGGGGAGCTACCTTAAAGATGACTGCAGTATGTTCCTCCCAAACGTAAATATGTACCTACAAGTCCAATTTACAACAATATCATCCTCACAACCGTAAAAACCTCGTATCTCACTATTGTAGTCTATAACTCGCAGGTAATGTAATTTCATTTGTCTAAAAGGGTATTACAGTTATCGTAATAATGATAGCAACAGATTAAACTGTACGTTTTAATTCCTTAAATACACGATCTGATTTAAATCAGAAACTCGATGAAATAATATTAAAGAATTCTGTCCACATCGCAAACAAAACGCAAACAAAGATCAACTTTTTAATGCTGTTGAAGAAAATGTTCTCACAAATTCAAAATGCAGCATTGCTCACTGTTAAATAAGACATTTGCTAACGCCATAAATTAAACAGATATCCATTCACAATTTTCAGTATACGTAGGCCTGTTACTTGGTTTGTATGTTTTTGAAGATGACTTAAACCCTCGGTTTGTTACAGTGGAAGTTTGAAGTACAATTATAAAACGTCGTTTCGTGTGTTGATAACCAGAAAATGTTTTATAAAAATATTGGTCACATATTACGGCCTGACCACGCTTGCTTAAATATTTCCATAATGGTTCCAAGATTAGGAAGTGACTAAAAGAATTAGTACAGGAAATGACATTAAAGTCTAGTGCTTTTTACATAATGTGTCTGAAACCGAAGAACAGAAAATACGAGATTTGAGGCAGAAAATCTTATTTCCACCCCCTTTCTGTAGGGTGTTGACAATTTCTATTGAAGAAATGGGAAAGAGGAAATGTAAAAAATAACTCGTAGATGACACAAATTTATACACATATTTCACTTCCATCGTCTTGAATTTCCATTCCATTCTTTACGCGGCGGGACGAATTTCAACTCGATTAAAATATAAATCATTACTACACTTAACTTGCAAGTTCGTGGAACGTCTCGCCCGCTGCTGAGCTGTTATAATATTTGTTTTTTTTCCATTCTCGCTGCCAAATATAAGTTTCAAAGTAGTACCACAAACGATGGAACCCATTTACAACTCTGAGAATATAAGTCAGCCAGGCTGCAATGACGTATGTGCTTGTTTTTTTTTAATGTTATTGTACCACCAGACATTCCACCTCTCACTAGTTTCAAACTTCTCTTTATGGTCAATATTACAAATTATCGTCACTACTAGTTCTCTCGCAAAAGATTACGAAAGAAAAAACATTTCTATTTTCGAAATTTTATTTTAACAGGATTATTTTTCCTTTTAAAGCCGAATCTCGTCTAAGCATTTAAGGATCCAGTGCGTACCGCAAAGAAAACACCACACTTTACCATTACAAACATCAATTGGTCGCCCAAGGAAAAAAACAACAAAAACCTAGTTTACAGTAAGAATCACACGAAATACATTTGTTGAAAATGCGACTTAATAATTGTTAAAAGTATGTGGGACGTAGACATTATAGTTACTGACAGACTTTAGAAGGTTAGTTAAGAGCAAATAATGACGTGATACAGCGCAGAACTCCTACGCAGATGTCATATCTGATATTTCTTCGTGCGTCAGCAATACTCAGATGGTGCTTGGAGACTAATGGCCAATGCCTCGTCAGATCATAATTCACCGAGCTTCACAGAACGCTGGCTTTGTAATCCTGGGGTCTCGGGTTCGATTCCCGGCGGTGCCCGAATTTATAACTTCTGTTGGGCAAGACCGTGGTCTAGGCAACACGGAGTTTTCCTCCGGGGGCTTCCCCGGATTCTCCGTGGCATCCCAACAATTACTCCATTCACACACAGAAGAAGGCAATGGCAAACCACTTCTGGATCATCTGCCAAGAACGTATATGAACAGGTCCCAGTCCGAGAAGAGAAAAGGATGGAAGGATCCTGTTCATATGGACCTGTCGTCAGACAGAACACTAAATAAAAATAAATAATAACTTTGACATTACTCGGTTCGATCTATATTTGTGGGACTAACATTCACGGCGGAGTAATATTCTGTTAAGTATTGACGTGTCTGTCTTACGGATTCTTGCGCCATGCAGTCTGGTAGAAGTTTAACGTCATTTTAGAGGTTCTTCCTGGACTCTTTACTCTGATGATGGAGGCAGCAAGCACCTCTGAAACGTCAGTAAACGTCTACCAGACTACATAGCGCAAGAATCCGTAAGACAGTCATCTTGTGTTACCCTGGTTGCATAATTCAAACGCGTAATAACTAGGAGTCAGGGGTGCCCATTTATAGATTGCTTATTCCTCTAGGAAATATTTCTTCGTTTGCACACGGCGGGATAACGCGTTTTTGTTTCAGGCGAGCATACAGAGGCGATGCAGAGAGACGCGGTTCACTCCCAGGCTTCTTGCATCTCAAGGCTTCAACACGAGATACTACTTTTCCTTTTCCTTAATGCTATGCAACTTGCAGCCACCAGATGAAGAAAGTTTTGAAGTAACTTTACGAAAGACATGACTTTCCTATACGGGTTAATTTCATTTCACATTTCGATAAAATATTTATAATCACAGTAAAATCTATTCCATAAAGCACTGAAACTGTTGTTATGAAATATAATTTTTTTAACTTATTTTTCCGTTAAGTCATGTTCTCTGTATGGATAAGATCGAACATTTTAATATTATCCAAAAGCGGCAGAAACGAGTTACCGTATTAGTACACCTATTAAATATATAAAATCCTGGACATGTAAGATTTCCCTGACGTAATACTTTCATCCGATATCTAAAGCAAGGAATAAAAGCCAACTACGAAAATAAAATATCTTGCTTTAACATTAATTCTTTTCTAGAGCTCTCTCAATGTGTGCTGAAACATAGAATATGTAAATGTTTTAAACGAAGCTTATAATTTAACACAGATCTGACAAATATATTCTCATGTCTGTCATATTCCTTTTTCTGTGTATGAAGTGAATGCTCGCCTTCATAACATAGTGTTCAAGTGTTTTGTGTTATTGAATCGTGTATTCATGCGTCTGTAAACAAGTGTCCTGAAGGAACAGGGCTCAACTATGACGACGCAGATATCAAATCTTTCCGAGACGTCAGTAAAAATCCACAAGACTACGGGAGTGCAATCGTCTAATCGTGTAACTAAAAATTTAATTATAAACTTGTGTTCGAATTTGTTGAATTGCAAATATTTATCGGGGATTTTAAAAATACATAAGTTGAAGTACTGTACATATGTTCAACGCCGTTCCCAGGATGACCTATTAAGTTATAATAGGATGAAACCTTGGGGAAACCTGTCTAAGAATTAGTTTTCGTCTCAATGGGGCTTGGTCTATAAATATTAAGGAGAAAATTTACTAGCCTCAAACTAATAACACTCAAGTCACTTTTGTTTTAACAATTATTTCCATTCCTCGACGTTAGCAGAATAAATATTTACGCAAAATAAAATATGTACTGAAGATACTCATTTATCTACATGCTAACTCCAACTTTTAATCTTACGACTTTAAACCCCCCCCCCCC